GCACCAAGAAAACCTTGTTTGTGTAAGTCAGCAAAGAGCTGACACCTCCTTCCAATGAGAATCCCAAGACCGGCTGCAAACTGAGCTTTGGCGGCCAGGCATGTAACAGGAAAAGAACCTTATTAAGGCGTGTGCACGAACAGACTGGTCCCCAGCTGCTACCCACCCTCACAGAGGAGCTAAGCTACAGCCCCCAATTTCCTTCATGGCCCAGTTCATCACATGCTTCCCTTCCTTTGCTTTGAATTCACCAGCTGCTTTGCAGGAGAGAGAGTTCCAGCCTCCAAAACGTGACAGAGGGTTGCCATGCACTGGAATCCACTTGTGTGGGGGTTTGGATTGGGAGGTGCTCTAAGGATGGACAGAGTCACTCAAGATCACAGTTATTTCAGTCCAGATCCATTTTTCCACAGAATGATGTAAAAAAGCACATGACTACAAGAAGTAAGTTGCCAAGAGGTTGTCCACACAAAGTGGTTACAAAACAGCTCTAGACATGAGCATGCAGACTGGGATGAGTTACTTCGAGTTCTGAGTCTGTTCCACTAGAATGCCACGTCCTGGTTTTCTGGCCTTTGCCAGGTATGATACTGCTGGAGACAGTTACACCAACATCGGCAAAGCAGTAGCTGGAGAAGAGAGAATGCGTTGTCAAGTGACAGTGCTGTATGTTTCAAGGCCCCTGTACTGTGGACACTGTGGAGTCGGCTGTTAATTCAGTGACTTCACTCCTCAACAATGAGACGTGCCAGTCTTGCACCACCACAACTACGGAATGACTGAGACCACTCGTGTGGCTTTCGTGTCAATTCATCCCTTGTTTCCACCACTCTATCAAATATGACATCCTTCCAGGTGACACGCCCAAAGTACTGGAAGTGAAGCCCACCATCCTTGCTTCAGCATGCTTTTCCTCTGTGACTGACTAGTGTGCTCTCTCAGTAGGGCTGTCGCTCATTTCTTCACTGCTGCTTCAATATTCAAGTAGAAAGAAATGACAAAACTTTTCTTCATTTACCATGATGTTGTTTGCCAGTCCAGGTATGGGGATATTTATTTTCTTCATCTTCAGATGTAGTCACTCAAAGTAAGTTGTCTTCATGGCAAGACTGCCATTTGCCAAATGCTGCTTATTAATTAGTCTTCTTCAAGTCATCATGCTGGGTATTTTGGTCATAAAGCCAGATTTCATGGCATGCTTGTCTAGCAAACAGAATGACTAAGGTATAAGGATAAAACCCTACTGCACAACTCTTTCAAACTCTGAACTAGACAGTTTATCTCAGGGCTTCCAACCAGGCATTCCTAGTTCAGTAAGAGCCGACGAGTGAAACTGGAATGGACCTACATTTGTAAAATGTGGATATCCCAGAGGAATGCAAAACAGTAAGAGTGGATGCCCTACTGGAAGCTCAATCTCCCTCTTAGAAAACTAAGGCATTATGATCACTAGAAAACCACCATATTTTCTGGCCAGTAAACATCAGTCCCTCACTCAAGATTATGGCTGACCTTACTGTGAGGCTCTGTACAGTCCTTGTGGTAATTCCACCTCTCAAATCAAACTCTTCAAAGAGCCTCTCCATCTTTTCCAAGTCTCCCATTCCAGAACTTCACTTGTATTTCCTAGCTGTCTTTCCAATATATACACAGCTTGTAAATTTGGGTCTGTTTTAATTTTGCTGTATCAGACACAAATGAACCATGCCAAAATCCTGGGATTCTCCTGCATGCTCTAACAACCATTTCTTGGTTTACAGATAAGGTCTTCCACAAGACCACAAAGAAATTTCTTTGAAATGCTATCCAAAACTTGTAAGGATACAGTCTTAGACCTTTATATAGGCAATGAAACACAGATAAACATCTTTCTGGCATGCACCTGACATCAGGAATGATAACCTTCATCTCCTATCCTCTTCTGGATACAGCCTGAACTTTTGGCAATTCTCGATTGGCAGCATCATAATGGATGGTGAAGAGATTGAGATTATTCACAGTTTTGGTTTGCTTGGATCCACAGTCAACACTCCTGGCATCAGCAGCCAGGAAATGAAAAGAAGTATTGTGACGGGACAGTCTGTGGTTAGAGACCTCTCTAAAGTGCTGAAGTGCAAAAATGTCAATCTGGAACATAAGGCGCACCTGATACATGCCATGGTCTTTGCAATCACTTGTTATGCATCAGAGAGTTGGACAATGACTAGGGAGGATAGAGGGAGAATTGATGCCTTTGAGCTGTGGTGTTGGAGAAGAGTACTGAATATACCATGGACTGCTAGGAAAACAAACAGATTGGTCCTGGAGAAGGTGAAGCCAGGCTGCTCCTTGGAGGCAAGGATTCTGAAGCTTCGTCTGACATACTTTGGACATGTTGCAAGGAGGGACAAGTCCTTGGAGAAGGACGTCATGCTTGGGAGAATGGAGGGACAGCACAGGAGAGGAAGACCGTCTATGAGATGGATTGATTCAGTTACTGGGGTAATAGGGGGTAGGTGTGTCAGAGATGGTGGGATTGGCAAAGGATAGGGCAGAGTTTAGGGCTGTTGTACAGGGTTGCTATGAGTCACAGGTGACGCGACGGCACATAATAATAACAACAACAATCAATGTAGATTTAGAAGAGATTTAAGATTATCTTCCATAACATTTTGCTAGCATATGAAATGAATGATAGCATTTGATAATTTCCTCATTCCATGAATAGGCATATGTGTTCTCTTGCTCTTGCATTAGGCAGGTCAGGCAACCATCTCTCAAACTCCCTGGCATAGCCATACAACTGTTGCCAGCATATCTTCTGTTTGTTGCAGCAACCATCTCAATTTGCTACTGAGTGATTTCTGGAGACTTGTTTTTCTGAATATGTTTACATGGATATGCTAGAAATGACCTTGGTGTCCCACCTGTGCCATTGTGGACACACCTACAGACACCCTGGGAATGAAGCCATGTCATATCTGTGTTGTCAGGTACATACTCACCTGCAGACACACCCTGGAAATGGTGGAAATGTGACATCACTGCAGCACTCCTTGGAATACTACTGAACTCATGTACACAAACACATACGCCCCAAAACTTAGGTGGGGACATTTTCAAAATCATCCAGGGCAATTTTGTGAGAAGCTTTCTCTAACTTCCTCTCTGTGGCATATGGGTAGGTAGCATAGAGATCTGTGAGTCCTGCAGCTCTGGTCAGCCCTGGTACCACTTCTATCCAAACACACAGTTTACTTGCATCAGCTTCTCCAAGAATTTCGGATGGGCCACTGTTGAAAAAGACACCACTAAAAATTCCAAACACTAAATAAAACAGCAAAACAAAAAACTATCCACTGATGAGAAAGTAACAACAAACTAATCAAGTACTGACTGCTCAAATTAAAGTACTGGGTTCTTCTGAGTAACTAATCAATGTGATCAAATGCACTGAACAAGGAATTTCATTCAACACTATTACCTGGCCACTTAGGACTCAGCTGTCCTTTCAAGCAGAACGAACCCAGCCTTCTCACCATCAGTTTTCAACACAGGGCAACATGCCAACACTAGACTTTCATCTATATAATTCATGTCAGTTAAACCTGCTAATTAGGATCCAAGTTATGGTGAAATCTGATTTCAAGGCAACGTTTACAGGGCCCTTTTTTTGGCATAAAAAGCTGTGTTCGTCAGAACCAAGGCCACAGCCCCTTCCACAGGAAGTTATGACCAGCATGAAGTAACTAGTCTTCTACCCAGAAATCTTGCATCCTCAGTGCCTGGCATCCCGGGGCCTTGAGTCAAGTGTAAAAACCCAGAACCTGCTCAACGCCCCATGTTCAGATGATGCAAAACCTCTGATACCAAGTTACTTTTAATGCATAATAACCTTGTAAATGATGTCAAGTAGAACCTATAAGCCTCTTCTACAGAGAGAAAAATGTGGCAATATGCTTCCTTCAAGACTTTATGATGTTAGGTGTTGCTAAGGTTACTGGCTCACAGGACCCCATGACATCCTCTCAATCTCTGATATACTAGAGCCTCAGAAACTTTCTGAGCAGCTTTATTCTGTCGTGCATGGTTGCCGAATCCAAATGTTGAGCCTGGCCAATTTACTTCCTTTGGAGAACCAGGTTCAGAAAAGAGATTTAAGAAAGGTGAGGTCGTCAGAAGCACAAAGGCTAGAGCAAGGCTACCTGATGGACGCTGCTGTGTCCACTGCAATGCATGTACAGAGCCTGACATAGTGGCCACTCAGCAGATGGACCTTCTGACAAATGCCAGCCAGCGGCAGAGCAGGGCAGGCTGGAAACTGGAGCGAGCCACAGAAAAGCAGGAGTGACCAAGACTGTGAGCGGCGCGCAGCAGCGACAGTCGAGCCGGGGGGGACTGGCCCCTCGTGGCAAGCAGCTCTCATGGTGAGCTCTGGGGCCCTGGGGCAGGACGCATACCCTTCCCTCCTCTAACAAGCCGAGTTTTGTCTCTCAACCAAAACAACCACAGGCTCACGCCCACGTGTGCGCACTTGTCAACTCCAAATTACTCTGCGCGCCAGGACTTCCAATCTCAAAAAACCACACTGTGAGGCTCTGACAATATCGCAGATGGTCGTTTTCAAGGACCTAACAAAAGGAGAGGCCCAACGCATGTTTCCTGACAGCTCAGGGCAGGGCCAGAGGACTGACCACTCGGGCAGCCGCACGGCAAGCGACTTCCCCTCTCCAGCCTCGCCGGAGAACTGCACCCAGTTTTTACAGCTTAGTCTGGCAGAGTTTACAAGAGCTTAAGAAAACGTACACACCCCAACAGCGTGCACTTCAAGGAGTCCCGTACGCGGTCATCCCGCGTCTTCACAGTTTACAAACGTGCGAAAACCACTGATTACGGAACAAAAGGCGGGGAAGAGTTGTGGCTCCAAAGAGAACCCAGGCTGCTAAAGCGTGTTTCCAGAGCAGTGAGGTCGCGCGCGCAGACCACCTCCCACCCCGACAGCCCCTCGACTGCCCACTTACCCGGGGGCCACCACCTGGCCCGGCTGCACACACAGCTCCCGGACAACGCCAGCGCGCTCCGACCGGGTAATAGGGGGTAGG